GGATTAAGTCAGCATGCAGCCTATGAGAGTCTCCTGGCAAAACTGGAGTGGACAAGCTTTGCCACTACTGTGCCTGGGAAGCTGGTGTAAAACTGTCTGCTGTCCAGAGACAGGCTTTGCTTGAGTCATAGGAGGTTGGCAGCATGACTGTGCAGACTGCATGGTCTCTCATGGGTCTGCTCTTGTTTAGTCTTCAAAAGGAAAAAACTAAGATGGACTAAATCCAGCAGGCATTGTTATGGGCGGAGAGGAGGTGAGAGAGCGGGTGTGAGCTCAGACTTGAGGCCAGGGTAGAGAAGGGCTGTTTATAGGTGCTGGAGAGGTCATAATGCAAGGGGTTGAAAGGAAGATGAGGAAGGGAGAAGTCTCTGATTGTGGAAGGGTTTAACTGAGAGGAAATCTGCCACATTTCAAAACTGGAGCCAGGGAGGGGCAAAAGTGAAATTGAACAGTAAGCATGCATGAGACACTACTCTTCCTCTCTCTTCCTCTAACTCAAAACACATCAATCACTCTTTTGATGGTAGGATCATTTAGGGAAGAAAAAGCGATGTTTTGGTTGTTGGTAACTGCTTATAAATACTCTGTAATAGTGATGATCCATTCTACACTTTTAGTCCAAGAATGTTTAGCTGAGAGGGGAAGAACATGTAAACGCCTACCTGCATGGTTACTGACACCCTAGTTAGATTTTTGGCACTAGCTTACTGCTGGTTCCTTGCTACCTGTCTGAGGTTTGTAGGGGAATGGGAAGAATGCTGTACAAGTCTGTATCAATGGGGAGTTGAATCTTGCCTTAGTATACAAACTGTTCTCTGACCAGCAACAGCTAAAATTTACCTGCTAAACGAGTAAATTTCTCTCCTATAAGTATTTCAAGACCCAGGAATAACTTGAAATTCCCTGGTTTACTCCATGTTTATGTTGTACATTTAAGCATTCATAGCAACGTAATGTAACTGTATACTGCCTTTTTGGTAATTTTGGTAGTAATTTGAGACTTTAAAAGGGAGGTATAATTAGAAAGACCTTACCTTAAAATTACAAAACATACTGTAACCCGTCTTCCTTCCTTAGGAGCACTGATACATGTATAGCATAATAGTATAGTTAATAATGCTGAGTGGCTAATCAGGCAAACTGGGGAACTTGCAACCATCAGAAAACTGTTAGTATTGCTACTGCTTTACACTGTTTAAAATGGCAACCATAGGCACTCTTATGTGTATGTCAGGATTGGTCTGATGGAAACAATACCAAAGTCCAGTTTGTTTTATCCATTATTTGCTTGCCCTTTTCAATAGGTGCCAAAAAAAGCATATTTTCTTGGAGGTTTGCTCCCTGTGCTTTATCAAGACCTTGTACTGTAGGTTTAGGCAGGGCTTTTTCACCAGCTAAGAAGTTTAGCATTTTTAAAACAGAGCCGTTTGGCTTTTTAAACTCGCACAGAAAATCAGAAATGCATTAAGCAAAAATCCAAAATTCAACATTTTCAAGAGATCAGGCACTGAAGGGCCAAAACAACTATTAATGTTAGCTTGAGGTTTAAACAAAAGCAGCAACAACAAACAATATCCTTTAAAAAACTCATTTTGCACTCAGTGTGCCCAAAATTTGTGATTGGAAAAGGCATCCAACCATTCATTTCCAGGTGTCGTGTAGCTGAGTGAATGCCAGTTGCTCAGTGTTCAGCTCTAGATGTAAAATGTGTTGATGAATTTTGAAATGGTGGACATGAAATTTCAGAATTCATGAATACGTATTTGGCTTTACAGTCTGACTCATGTCAACATTCTGTCAATGTGTGGTTTTTTAGGCTCCAGTACTGTTTAAAGGAAGCATTAGCTTTTTTCTGGACAACAACCACCTATGATGGATTGATATGAAAAGATGATTATTTGACTAAGGATATGAAAGCTGACTTCAGAGCTTCTTCAAGAATAAGCTTTGTTCTTTGCTTATTTCCATTCCAATACAAGAGAGACTTGAACATAGTTCAAGTAACATGGTTGTTGCATGGAGGCTTTTTTCTAAAGAATTGCCAACTCATTAGTTCACTGTAGAGGAATGCAGTATTTCTGGTATCCCACTCCAGTGACTAGATTAAATAACTGATGAAAGCCTGTTACTTTGATGCTACTGCTTGTTTTGTTTATAGTAATGGTTGACTAAATATCCTCCTTTTATGCTCATTTCCAATACTTTTGTTTGTATTCCATATCTTCCTGATTCTGTCTTTAAAACCTTTGTATTTACTTCTGTGTAACTCCTTTTTAAGGGAATGATACTTATGAAAAAACCTTAAAAACCATTAGTTGAAGTAATACCTAGAGTAGTTGCTTCATCATCTGGTGTCATGACTTAAATTCTCTCTCGAGCTGGGCTTTTGAAAAATATATTTGAGTGCTTGAGTAATTACTTTAATAGAAGCATTATAGGAAAGTACCAAGCAGCAGAAAAACTAAGAGAAAAGATCATCTGCTTAGAAAAGGTTGGGCATGCTTTTGAAACTGGGCATCCTAGAGATTGCTGTGCTCTCTGGGTGGGTTTGAGTTCAGAGCGCTGCCGCATTCCAGCCTCTGCAGAGAAGTTGGGCTTGCTGCAGATCATGTATAGAGAGCATGCTGTACTAGACAAGACTCAGATTTTCACATGCTTACTTTGATCCCTCTTGAGTGAAAAATCACTGTGAAGAAAACAGGATTTTGTTCCTGTATGTTTTGGACTGGATGAATGAGTCCAGCACAATAGCAATCAAACATATTACCTTCACCTTTAAGTAATCAAATACAGCTGATAAAATGCATTTGTTCCTCTAGCTCTCTTTTGTAGTGTAGAACTTTAACTCACTAAGTCATACAAACTTAACACACAGTGTTTGTACAGTGACACTTTTTTCTGTTTGTTTTTTGGGGCAGTTGTTTGGGTTTGTACCTTGTTTTGCTGGGAGGCTATTTACAAAAGGAATTCTGACTGGTTTGGATTAGTTATTTTCCTGGTATGTTAACCCATTAATGAAAAATCTAGGAAACATTTTGGAAAGTTTTAAAAACCTGTCAGGTTTGTTCTATGACATGCAAATGGGACAGAAACTTTTTTGGTCAAACACATAAATTTGTTTCTATTACGTTGTCTGGAGTGCTGTTTCAGAGGTGTTTTTAAAAAGTATGAATTTCTGGTTTGTGGTGTTCTCAGCACAACAAAGCTTGTATGCTCTTTAGCATGCTCCATATATTCAATTGTCCTTTTCAGTAACTTTCAAAAAATTCTAAAATATGGCTGATAATTTTGTCTCAGAGGTTTAATACCTGGCTACAGTAAAGCTGTATACAGGATCAGAGTTCTGCATAGTAATGTCAGATAGTAAAAGTGCACCTATGAGGAGACATCTGATGCAAAGCTTGTTTAATTGCTCATTGATGCTTGTGTGTTATATTCTGTGACCAGCAGTATGTAATAGGGTAATGCAGATTTAGTATATATTGTAAGGCTTCTCTTTTGTTTCTGAATTGATCTGAACTGAGGGAAATAGCTTGGACATGCCTTCATTTACCAATCCTGTTCCTGGTTTTGTCTACTTGATACAGGATGTTTTGAGCCAAGTTACCTAATCCTGTCACACCACCTACTGTTGAAAGGCAGACATTGGGCATGTTTTTCTTGTCTGAAATTTAATGCAATCCCCTTAATGTCATGACTTCCTGGGTTCGGTGCAAATTTCAGGTTTCTTGGTTGTTAGTATTTAGGAGTAGAAATTCTGTAGTAAAGCTAGTGTTGCTTGAGGTGAAATTACTAGCTAATTTTGTCATATTTGAGCAGTTCTAGCTTAAGCAAAGTTGAAGTGTTGTTTAATAGTAACAAGAATTAAGGGAAGGGTATTCCCTTTAAATAGAAATCAGATTGTTCTGTGTCAAGTCTGAGACACTGTAGTTGCTTCTTTTCCATTAAGATAAACTGTCAGCCTTAAAAATGGCAGTGACATAAGAAATCAACATATTTTAGATAGTTTTTCTTAAAATAAATAACAAAATATTTTCTAGAAAATATAAGTCTGTCTTCTCTAGTTTTGTACAAAAATGAAAACCTCTTATCCATATTCAGAAAGCTGATACTAAGATCTTGATCCTGGGGCTGACAGGATTAAACTCAGAGCTGGCAAGAGAAATCTATGTGTATAACTTGTCTGGGCCATTGAAATTTTAATCTGGGTGCACACTTTTCAGGAAATAAACTAGAAGCTAATTTGTCTAAACTCAGATTTTCTTGTGGAAAGTGTATTTGCTTTGTTAGTAATGCAAGAGTGAGTTCCTCCTACACCTATCTCTTGCGTAGGTGCTTTTCCTGTTTGATTAGCTGAGCTGTTGGCTGTTTGTATTCAACAAGCTCAAATGAAAACTAGACTTAATACAGAAATGTTTCTGTACCAGCTGGCCTTAAAGAACTTGGTTTTGAAAGTGCTGTTAAACTAGTTATATAGAACTACTCAGTTTTCAAGATATTTATTGTATGAGTACAAAGCTATTTGATGCTCTCATACTGTCTTATTCCTTGAAAGGATATTATCTTTTAGAGTGTTCTGTCTCACTCTGAGAGGGGAGTGGGGTTGTGGATCTGTTTTGGGGAGGGACAAACGGAAGAATCCTTTCTTAGATTGTCTTTGAAATAGAGGTTATATTTTTGTGGGATTGCCAGTACAATGAACCGTAATGTGAGGTAGGAAAATACAGACTTTTTTAATGTGTGCAGATATCTGCACTGAATGCAAGTCTATTAAGCTCTTGACTTGTTTCTAAGGCTTTAAGTCCTTGGAACTGTTTTTCTGCATTTACAGCACTTTTTTTTACCATGTCAATAGGAAGTAGATTGAGCCATTTTATATGGATTTTTACTGTGTACATATTTTTATTTGTAGGCATACATGCAAAAGAAGCAATCATTTAAGTTTCTTTCCTACTCCTTTTGTTCTTATTTCTCCCTCTTCTTTCCCCCCTAATTGACAGGTGTAGGATCTTTGCCAGGAGAGAGGCATGCCTCAGTGAAAAATTCTCCATCCTCGTGGACTAGCACTGGTAAATCCCTTGCCAAATCCAAAGTGCCTGTCAAAAGATCAGTGCTTGAGAGAACACCTAGCCTCTCATCAGTCAGCAGTGCTCAGAGTGAGCAAAGTCTTTTCAGCACTAATTGTAAGTATATGTGAGGCTTATGGGTTTTAACTGATTGATAGCCCACATCAGTTGCTTGTTGGTAAAAATCTTCTTGGAAGGGAGTCCTGTCTGACAAGTACTGTGTTAATTCTGATTGTACTACTTGTTAGTTCTAGGACTTTTTTTGCCTCTTTACTTTTAGAACATTCCTTTTTGAGACATACTGTCTGAAAGTGCTTTGAGCCCTGGATTTTGGGTTGATGAGTAGAGATTTTGGTACAATTTCTCTTCCATCCTACATAATCAGCATGTCTTTTTAAGCAAGAGTTTGCTGATGTTTGCATGTAGTGTAATATGTCTGGACACAATGGTTTACTTGTCATAATATTTGGAACAGTGTGTTACAGTGTGTTTTTTGATGCTAAATGTTTTTTGGAACCAGTTTATATCTGCTTTCAGAGTTTTAGGACAAAATATGTAGCTCAAATTACAGGCACGTAAGTGAAACTTGTTTTAGAAGAGAAACCTTTGTATGGGTAGACTTCTGTAATTTCTAAGGTAGCTGTAAACATTGGTGTAACCAAATCAATCTTGATTAAAAGTAATGAGAAAAATACCAGGACTTGCTTTGTTTTGAAGTTCTACAGCAGTTCTTAGGAATTCTGAGGGGGAAAAATATTAAGAAAATAACATACAGCTGACTATTAGACATTAGTATTCCCAGCTATGCATATTTAAATAAGTACATTCAAATATTCTGCTGCTCTTGTATTACCTGTTATATCTTGAAGACTAGGCAAAGGCCTTTTATTTGTGCCAGATGTCACTTAAATCTGTCTTCAATGGACTGAAAAAGAGAGCTGTGATTTAACACACGTCTGTGGTTTATATATGCGCATATGCATGCACGCATAACTACATTTTCTCATATTCTTATCCCCTCTCCTCGTACTGCCTTCGTTAAACTAAGCCTAATATATTCCTCAAAGGAATAAGAGTATGTGTAATAAAATATGCATGTGCATCTTGCTCTGCAATGAGATCTGTTCTGATACTGTGACAGCCATGTTGACTTTTGCTGTTCAGGTTTAGGACTGTATCTGGAGTTGCTAAGCAGCTTTGTCCTCTCTTCGTTTTGCTCCCTCATGTAACAAAGGAAGGGTCATCACTTCATAACAAAGGAGTGTATTCAGATTAAGTATCCAAACAGATGACTCCTTATTTAGCCTGATTTGCTAGCTGCTGTAATCTGTTTTGTCCACTGCCTTCAAGCTTACAATTTTTTCCACTCCGATTCACGAAGACCAAGCAAGAGCAATATGAGAGGTTGAACATGGCTGCAGTCTCGTAGACTTTTAAGCTTGCTTAGATCTTTTTTAAATGACTATACCAGGAGGACTCCGCAGTTGCACAGAAACTAATTTTTCTCCTATTATTTTCTTCAATTCTACACTAACACCACCGACTGACTCAGGAAGCCACTATGATATTACCTTACTGACATTGCTGGTAGTGGGGTCTTACAGCTTTTGTATTGTTCCTTTGTTAGCCACGTTTACTGGGAAGAGAAGTAGGTTGCATTCCTTTTATTTCTATTCTAAAGCATGTATTTTGTTTTGTGGAGGTTGGTAAATATAAGCAATGTTTTGATCTGCTGATTTACTGTAATATTACTTTTCTTTAGGGAATTTTTTACACTTGATAAGAATTATTTATATCTAATAGTAATGTTTTGTGAGTATAATGACCTAAGATTTTGTGTAATTCATATGTTAATGAAATTTTTATGACTTTGAATCAAACTGGAAAGAACTAAGGAATTTTCTTTGTATTCTAATGCTAAGTACAGTGCTGTTCTTGTTTTTTATTCCTGCATTTAGTCTACTATGTAATAATTTCAGGAAAAAAAATTTTGAAGCTTAAGTGGTTTTATTAGATTGGTGGGACACACAAAGATCAGAATGGGAGGCTTATGCTGTGTATGCCGTGAAATGTATGACAAACTACTGTGATCCTGTCAACAATATTAAATCAAAAACGTGCTTGGCTTTTTGTCTTCTGTTAGCAGAGAAGAAAAACGGCAAGAGTGTTTCTGCTGCTTTGTCAGCTCGGTCCTTTGTTATGGGATGTCCTTGGATTGGTAATTCCATGTGGCAGCATTAGGGCTTGTTTTTTCTTTTTAATCTAATGAGCACTTGAACTTATGATTCTTTTCTCTAAAATGACTTCTTATTTGAGAAGCTCAAAAATCACGAGGTTTGAAATGCTGTTGTTACTGAAAGCATATTTTGTATGCAGTCAGTTTGAGCATTGAAAACCAGATTTTTTTTTAAACAGTAATCTCAGTTTTAGTGCTGAGCTGAAAATGTTATCCTTTGAACATACCGAAATGTTTAACTCTGATGTTAAGAAAAAAGATTCCAGATTTTAATTGCATAAGGTTAATTGTATATATAATAAATAGTGTTTCAAAAGTTTAAAAGCTGATCCTAGCAGTTGACCTGCATCTGCATTTTTGTACAGCCAATACTTCATTACAATTCTTCTAATGAGTGGAGCTTTCAGATCTTTACTGGGCTGAGATCATTTCATACCTGTCCATCTTTATTCAGGATTGCAATAGGTGCTCCAAATTTGAATCCAAAAGTGACCAAAGTCTGTAAACCTCGGAGGTTTTTGTGGGGTCATTTTGGGTTTTTTTTGATTCCTGCACACAAGCTGGTTAGCTGACTCTGGAGTTTTTAATAGGAGAGAACAGTTCCCTAACTAGTCCTGCGCCAGAACGCTGCTCACACACCCCAAGGGTTACTACCATGGTGTGCTGCTGATTTAGAAGAGGAAGTAGCACACTAGTTTGCAGGCAATTTTTAACTGCTTGCAGTGAGCTCTGAGCAAACGTCCTTGATTTAGTGATTTACAAAAACAATTAAGAACTGCTTCACACCTTGTGCTTTACTAAAACAAATTGGTTTTAATTATATAATGTTGATCAGGGTCAGATTCCTACACAATAACTGTGTTGCTGATGTGTTATGCAAATTGCTCCTTGTGTACAGTTTTTTTGGCAAATATTTAGCTTTTGTGTTTTTAGAGAGGCTCCAACTTCCTTTTTTTAAAAAAAGATGATGGCTTCAGTTGCATGTGTTTGTTAAAGGGAAATCCTCTTTCTGTGGTAGAAAATATTTAGTGGCCAAAAGCATCTTTTTGAAGTAGTTAACTTACATGGTTTATACTAGTCTGTTTAAAGACAATAAAATAATCTCAAGACTGTATGCTCCATCTTTTGATGAACAATATTAAACATGTAGTTCACATTGCCTTTAAAAAAAAACAGTCTCATTAAAACACTTATCTTGGGCAAACCTGGTAATATATGACAAAAGCTTCCCCCTCCCCCACCCCTTTTTTTTTTTTTCAATGACTAGAGAGAAAAGCAGTGCTGTGACAAACAATTCCACAGTGACTTAATTTCTTCTTGTCTCTGGTAAATGCTGTGTGAATTTTCTTTAACATGTTAGTATACATCATTTTTTACGCCCCAAGACGAAGTCTACTCAGTCTGTATGTACTTTAGAAATATTTTCACATATTTTCTGGACAACAGAAACAATGTTTCCAAAAGTTTCAGTGGTGGTTTTTTGGGTTTTTTTTGAGGAAAAATTTCTATTGTGACCCTAAACTCAAACCTCTTTCAAGGTTGTTTAGTCTCTGGTAAAACTGACTTGCCTTATGATTTAATTTTCTCTAAACTATATATGCTTAGAGCAAATTCCTTTGCGATTCTGTTTTGCAGCTCCAAGTGCCACAGTCATCAGGAATGGAGAATGGCCTTCAAAACCAGCCTGCCAGAATGGCACTTCAGGGTCTGCCCCTTTGAAAGCACTGCCAAGACCTAGATTGCACTCATTGAGGTCAACTCCAAAAGGTATGAGTCTGTTTATAGACAGAGGAGGTAAAATCACATCAGTGGTGCTTCAAGTGTTGTAAGACTTCATAGGAAGGCTGAAATATTCTTTGTATTTCCGTAACTGATGGAGGTATTTTCAGGGAAATGAAGAGGTCTGCGCTGTGGTACGGCTCAGGTTTGCATGGTACAGGGACTAAATGCACCTTGCTACGTGGCAGGTGTCATCGCAGGGGGTTTGTGTTGCTTTAAAGAGTTCTCTTCCTCTGGAAAATTCAGGTCACAGGCTCTGTCACTGCTGGTAATCTGCAGAATAGACATACCTGAATTTATCCTGAGTGTATGGTTGTTCTTGTCTTTATGTAGACTGTATTATCTTCACCCTTCTCAGGACCGAAAGGGCCTTGGGGGATGGGGATATATTTCTGAATAAGATATTGTTAGAATGTATCTTCTTTTGTAGATCAATGACATTGTCCTGTCTTTCAAAGGGAAGAGTCACAGAAACGTAGCTTTTCAATGTGCTTTTTCTTGATATTCTTCTAGGGCTAAATTAGAAGCTTTAATGGAGATGAGACAATTAATTGTGTTGTATCAACTTGTGCTAAAAGAAACATTAAATGTATTTCCTGACTTTATATTAAACATTGTTCAGGTTCCTATTTTGGTTCGAGCTAGGAATTCTTGATTGTCCAACAGTGCAACTTCCACTCAGGCCACGAACAGCAGCTGACAAGTCATTCTCTGACCAAAATTAAAGACATAATGGGAGCAGATAAATAAGCTTGTTGTGTCTCTTTCTTAAGTCCTAACTGTAATCAGCTTGCTTCTGACCATCTTTGTGGTGAACTGGTTATTGTAATTGGATAAACCTAATTAAATGCTGTGCTCCTGCATTAGACTTAAAATTTAAGCTGGTATCTGACATAATAGAGAATAAATAAGAGATGCCTGCCAAATGTCTCACTGTAATGACATGCTTTAAAAGAGTAAACAGTGAAAAGAAACAGAATTTGCCACAAATTGTAAGTCACTTTGAAACAAACACGAATCATATGGCTTTCTAACAAGCTGATGCTTTCTATCTGGGTCCAGCACATGCAGCACAACTATGCATAGCTCATCGTCTTCTGTGACATGGCAGTGTGCCTTGAGCACCTGCAGGAGCAGTGTGGCCAAAGGAAGCTGGTATTCCCCTTCAGATCAGTGTTACCTGGACTGTGGTGTTGTGTTTTGGGTCCTTCCCAAACCAGGAGGGTTGTTTTGAAAGTGGAAAGATCCAGTGGATGGATCTTAAGAAGATGGGTAGGGTCTCTGTCCAGTGAGAAGAGGTTGAGGGAGTTGAGCCTGTGCAGTCAATAATTTGAAAAGGACAGCTATAAAGGTCATGGTGCCAAACTCTTCTTAGTAGCATCAGATCATGTAGCAATCAGAAATGCTTTCAAATTGTAGAGAGGGAGATGCATCCTTGCCCAGTGGTGCCGTGGAACACCCTTCCTGGCAGGAAACATCTAGACAGAGCGTGGTCAGCTGATCTCATCTTAATGGTGACCCTGCTCTGGATGGGAGTGTGAATATCTGGCCTCTGGAGGTCTCTTTCAGCCAGTGTTTCCTTAGCTGCATTGTATTTGCTGCTGTTTTGAGATTCAATAACTTGATCTTAGTGCTAATATGAAATCTTTACTAACATTTTCTCCTGCTTAAAAGGCATTTAAAATTCTCTTTTTATTTCTTCCAAGGTGTGTTCTGGCAAAGAAGAGCTAAGTTTAAATACACCTTAAACATTCTAGAAGGTTTCTCTTTTTGTGTTTGAATAGATTTGTGGACCTTGTACTTAAATGTAAAAATGTAAGATATGTCTTTAATTGCTTTACAACTTTAAATAGTTCTACTTTAAAGTTCATCTAAGCTTTTACTTTTAGGAGCCAAGACCAGGTCTGCTTCACTGAGCCAGTGCACACCAAAATCATCTGGGCCTCTACACTTAGCAAGGAAAGTCAGTGAGACTAGAGGTAATTACCTGTTGGGGAGTCAATTTTTCACTTTTTCTTGGATCTCTCTGTCTTGAGAAGGAGCAGCTATGCTTTGATTTCAAAATAATTGGGATAGTTGCCTCATTTTCTTTGCAGTTCACCAGGTTGGACACTGGCTCTGCAAGGTTCTGTTCCTTACCTTACCTAAAGCAAATGCTTTAGGGACATTCATTGTCTACTGTCTGCTTGAAACTTGCATCCCATAAGGACTAAAAATACAGCATAATTAATCTGTATGTTAAATAATGTTCTGTCACCTGCTTATAAGGTTGTGTGCTTGCAAGACACAGTCTAGACTGGATTTTGCCCAGTTTGTGTTTAATTTAAGCAAGATTCTTGTGAGAGCATGCTGATCAGCTCTGCCTGTTGAGGATATTTATTGCACTTTGTGTTTCTGTATCAGATATTTGTTTTATCTTTAACTTTGAATTAAAATTAGTTCTTTCTGCCGGAGTGAATCAAAAGAACAGATACAAACCTTAGGACAAGGTTTGTAAGACAAAAGTTTCACTTTGGGAGCAAAGCGCTATTTGCAAGGCTGAGGTGGGGGGACAACAAATACAGGGGTGATACAAAGCAGGTTGTTTCCTGAGGAAACCTGTGCCAAAGGAGCCACACTATTCCTAAAGCCTGCAGAAAGGTGTCGTAAAAAGACTTTTTATGAACTTCGGCACATGACATTTGTACTTACACCCAGCAGCCTGAAAGATCACTTTCATTCAATATCCTTCAAAATAATAAAGTTTGTAGGACAATTTTCCATAACTTTTAAGTAATACAGGAAGGGTGGGTTAACTTTCTCAGTGCTGCCATTTATATCTAACTTGACTGTTAGCACATTTGAGAATGTTGTTAGTTTATTGCTGCTCTATGCAAATAAAATAATTGTAGCATACAGAAGGGAAAAAAAATGCTATAATACCAGTATAGATGATAGTTTTTCGTTGTCTGTGGTCCTCTTTGAATGAATGAAGTGAAACAGTGCTACCTGACTTAAATGAAATATAGTAATTGTAATGATATAATTGTAATTGGGGATGCATCCTGCATTTTCCAAACAGTTTCTTATGCTAAATCTTGCTGTAGATCATGCCGTCAGCCATCAGAAGAAAGAAGCTGAAATTGCCAAGTTTGAGGGGTTTATGTGGGAAGAATCTTGAATCTTAAAAAAAGGCAGGCCTACTGCCCCTTACTGGCTTGAACTATAATTTTTTGTTTGTTTGTTTCCTTTCTGAAGGTAGTCCTGGAAGAAATGTACACCAGAGCCTATCTTGTTTGGGTCCCGGTGAGTTTTCTGAGTGCATTTTATATTTTCTGTGGTGCAACGCAAGTTAAGTTTGTATATTATATTAGTATGTTGGTTCTTTTCTGGAAAGAATAGATGCACAATGGATAATTCTGTAAATTATCACTGACTCTAGTTTCAAGGAATGTGGAAAAAAGCCTATTTTCCTGGGTTTTGTCTACCTCCTGTCTTCTGGCTACCCAGCTTCGGCTATACAGTCTGTTTTGTTCTTCTGTTGCCAGTGAAACCTAAGGAGGTTTAAACAGTACGCCAAAAAAAATAAAGGAAATGAAATTTGGGTGTAATTTTTACTTTTTAGCCAAAGTAATTAATGAATGAACTTGTGTGTTGCAGCATTAAAAAAGCCCCAAAAACAAATAAACAGAAGAATCCCGCATAACCTTCCTTTTCTGGAACGTTCATTGTAGATGACCTGTTGGTGTGAGCTGTTTTTGTGTATCTCTGTAGACTATGTTTGTGTAAGAAGTTGAAGTTACCGTAGCATGTTGATGTGTGTCTGCTCATATGGCAGAGGGAGGAATTGCAGCTGATTAAGTGGCAGATGGCGTTGCAAAATCTGGCAGAGTTTTAAGGACTTCATATTGGGTTTGTTTTTGGTGTTTGTGCCAGTCAGGACACATGGTGCCAGTTTCTGTCTGCCAAGAGACTGAAAAGTCTTCAGACGATGCTTCTACTTGCAGCAGTTTCCAGGTCTTTTCAAGAGAGTTGGCAGTCTAAATTAGTTCCCTGAGAATCAGTGTGTATTTGTTGAATTAAAAGCTACTTGTAATTAATTACTCATTGAAAAGCCCTTTTTGAAAGATACTGAAGATCACCGGAAGGCCCTGTGTCCCCTGAGTGAATAGCAGATGTCTTTCTGAAAGAGGTGCTGTAGCCAAGCAGATGTCGTAAATTTGAGTCTGAAATTACTAGGCAAATCAGTACTGACCTGTAACTCTGGTACTATGGCAGTATTTTTTACATTTCCTGTAGTCATAACATGCATTTAATGCTTTTGTCTTTTACTCTCTTGGGTATCAAATATATTCATTTTAATTTTGGCTGAGCACTTAGATATCTTGTGTTAAGAGTCGGGGCTTCTGTCAGACTTTGCCCAACATTCGTTCTGTTTGTTGCTTTTAATGATATTTGACTGAACTAATGCTAGTTTAGGTAAAGCGCGACACTGAGTTTCAAGAGCTCAAACCCTACTCTGTTGTATAGTCATGTAGGGAGTGATTCAGCTAGCAACATAATGTCTTGATCAGCTCAATTGAGGAAACTCCTAATAAGCAATAAAATCCGTGTCTGGACTAGAAACTAGAAAAGTAAATTTCTCTTATGCTTGCTTTTGGTAGTCTCAAAATACAACTTAATTACCCAAAATTCAGTGTACACTTTCTCTCAACTTTCCAGAAAAGTAGTGTCCTCTTCCCTTTTTTACTGGTTTAGTAGACCTTTGCTTATGATTCCTTTTTTCTGACGTAAAAATGCATGTAGCTACATAACTTTGAAGTGATGGATTTGAAAAACACAGCCATAAACTCCAAATGACTGTAATATTTAGCAATATTTTAAATAAATGCTCTTTACTCATACTTTCAACAATAAAATGGCTGTATTTTAGTGTTTGCTTTAACTAACCTGAACAGCTTACTGTACTGAGTCAGCTTCCAAAACTGGAGATGTTAGACATTCAACTTAATACATTTCTAATTTGTACAGAGAATTAGTATAATATCCCATTTATGAGTGCAGAGCTGTCTGGTGGAGTATTTTGTACTTTTAAGAAGTTTTTTCCCATCCTTACAGTTGCAGATAGTTCTTACAGAATGAAAATACTGTGTGACTGCTTGGATATTCTGCAGTACAGTGTCAATTTTAAGAAAAGACAAGTGATCTTTTTTGAAATGAACTGAAATAGTGCCAGCCAGTACCATGTAGAATGAGGCCCACTATCTTCTTTTTTTTTTCTTTTGGCTTTGATATTATAGTGAAGCTTTGTTCTAATGACTGCAGCCACTATAAAGCTGTTGTTCTTTTATTTCAGTACCATAGTTAAGTCTTTTAGCCTTATCCAGTCAGAAGTTCCAACCTCACTTCTATTTCCCGCCAATGTGCCCAGGACTAATTTGTTACAGCAGAACTCTGATAATTGATTAACTCTTAATTAAAAGTTAAAATATTAACTCTTAATATCAGAGCTGATATTAAGGTATTAACTAATATCAGTTGTTCATGCTGCCTTTCACATTTCTTCAAGGGGGAAAAAATAACAGGCTTTTCTAGATACAGTTCTGTTCCCTTAATGTTGGTGCTGTTTCTCCATTTTCCATTCATTTACAACAATAATACACAGCCAGAATCTGCTTGATGAAGCAAGCCACAACATACTGCTAGTGTGCCTGTAAAACTGGACAGACTTGCCTGTTTGCCGCTGTTCATTTCTTGTTTGTGTTAAAACATTCACAAGGCTTCTTTTTCTGAATTCTGTATTTTTCATGGGTGATGTTCAGTGCATCAGATAAGTTCTACAAGTTCTGTGGTATATTTCTTCAGCACTGGCTTTAAAGCTAAGGCAGAATTAAGTTCTTGGGAATGTTTTATTATACTTCTTAACTTGCTAACTTCAGGTGAAGATGTTTATGTGCACTTACTGTAATGTCTTAATGTAAATATGAATAAAAATGTTGCCTCTTATGAGATGAAATTTTGAACTATATGCAAAACTGCCTCTAAAATGCATAAAGTGCTGTTTCCTTTTTACTTCAGCTTCCCTGCAGAAAAAGCTGGCTGTGTCTAATCCCTCTGTAGTATATTACAGTGCAGTGTGTGTGGATGCAGTGGGTATTCACATCTCAGGTCTCTGTTACTGGCCAAACATTAAGTTACAACACAGTAATCTCTGAACCCACATAAGCCAAGCAAAAGCAAATATCCTGTTTGGCAGTTCCAAAGGTAAAGCAATCACTTTGGGAATAAAGCATGTGAATATTTGGCTTATCCTGTTTTTCCATGACCCTGAAAGGGATCTGTGGTGTATTATGGATAGCAGGTTGGACTTACATGTGCGGCATAAGATCATTGTCAGGAAACCAGCAAGGACAACTGATGGATACACCTGTAAAGTGTTACTAAATACGAACAGTGTGATTTATGTTGTATCTTTTAGCACTATGATGCAGCATGGAATTGGTTACTAAAGGCTGCAGAAGCCATGAAAACCAAAGATGCTTTGTCAGAAAATGGTACATGCTCCACCATGGTGTTCTGTTTTCTTACTCTCATAAAGGATGTTTGTTTTAGTTCAACCATTTGTGAGAAAATATAACAAGGAGAGAAGGAAGAAATTAAGTCAGGGGGCTTATTGCAAAAGTGAGTAATAGTGCTGATAAGCTCAAATGGAAAAATAAGGTATAAATATAACAGTCTGAGAAGTTGTCCCTTGGAACAGGTTGTTAAGGTGGGGTCTGGCTCTTCATTCAAACCCTTATACTGGGATAAGATGCTAACAAGATACTCTGGTTCAGACAAAAGTTGGAGGCATACTTTAAGGTTCAGTTTACACCCCTTTCTTTCATTCTGTTAGTCATCCCTGTTGAAACTTGAGAGGAAACAGTTCTTATGTTGTAGATTCTTTGATAGAATAGGTTACTCTCAAAATACTTGCACTTTCCACATCTGTAGAACAAGTATTAATTCTGATTGTGCTTTGACAACAACAAACAAGACTTAATGTTTTAAAATTATATGTTATACTGTGTCAAATTTGTATTTTTCTTAAAAATTGGGGATGCACATTGTTGTGAGTGCCAAATTCTTAGGTCTTCAGTTGGCTGTGGCATTCAGCAATGTATGGCAAATTACCCCAACTGATGAGGGATATCTGCTCAAGTAACTCATTAGGGCTCTGTTTCTCCTTTTGTATCTTTAGGGGTTTGTTATTGATTGGGGAGTGGTGTGTATTTGCTTTTAAGAGTTTTTGCAAGTGTAGAAGACACTGTGCAGGTAGTGGTGTTGCTTGGAGATTTGAAAAGACCTTGATATGTGTGTGAACATTCATGCCCTGGCAGCCAAGAGGTCCAGGTCTTCCACATTGCAGAAGTGGGACTTCTGACTAGCTCTAACTGGGAATTTCAATATAGATCTGTTGGATAGACTGGATCTCAGTCTCTGGTGTTCAGAGCTTCAGCATTTTTAAGTAAGTTGGGTTCATCAGTTTTTCTGTCTCTGTCCCTGTCTCAAAAGAAAAGCCAGGAAATGCTGCAGAAGAACTTGGAACAGTTTTGCATGTTCTGGGGTTACCAGATTAGTACAAGATTAGATTTTGTATTCATTTAATACAATTAATGTTTTACACACTGGAAATTCTGGGAATTGAACAATGTAAATTAATATTTTCACCTTATCCCTTGAAAAGCAACAGACATCAGGCTTAAACCTTTTTGCAGGTATTTTACTGTGGCTGGAGTATTTTGTTGCCTTTCTAGCTGCAATAAAAAGCTGGCTATAGTCTTTTTTTAGACATTTTTTTCATTCATATAAACTGTAAGGACTATCTGAATGACTCAATTTTCTCGTGATCTAACATTAGAATACCTTCAGGCTAATGCTCTTATAAACAGACAGCAAAGCTAAGTAGAGTAGCTACTGCATGTGAACTAGCTATGAAAACTGGCATTTGTTTTGCCATTTCTATGTAAATAAATGCATATAATCTAAATATATGAATTGGAGTTTCTTAATAATTGTATTCATTTGGGACATATAATGATGTTTATTTTGAAGAGTTAAGGGAATATCTATAAACCTGAAATAATCTTTGAAACACAATAGCTGTTGCCTTCTTGGCCAGATTTTTACACTGTTACTAAGTATAATACAACAACTGGATCTAAGAATTAAATTTCTTGAGTGAGAACTAGAATGCTCCAGAAGTCTTCAAAGTGGAATGGCTGGTGTTGATATTCAGAGAATGCCACTCTCAACTCCAAAGTAAT